CCCATTTTCAATTTGAAGGAATATTTATTTGTGTTGCTAACAATATTTGAAGCATGTTAAAATCATCGGTGATCTATTTAATGAGAATTTTAGCTAGATCTTTATAATTTCAGCCTCATATTTCTAATAAAAATACACAAATATGCATGGCTATATCCATCAGACCTTCACAACAAATCATTGTGGATAAGCCACAATTTCTAATAAAATATTGTAAATGGTTGCCTAGAACCAGAAAGAAATAGCTATTCTTTTCCTGTGGTTTATAAAATAGTGCACAAATATGTGCCAAAATAGATACAGATATAAAAATTAAGTTATATGTCCCAATCATGATTAATGAAATTTGTAAGTTAACCTTTGGAAGTGTAGGAATGTCAATAATCAACTACACATTTTCAGCATGATTTTCAAGATGTATTTTAGATAAAGCCAATTTTGGCTTCTCTATGGACATTAGGGAGAATAACATGGATAGCTACTCTATGAATTTTTTCAAAATATTTTGGTTTAGAATTGTAAAACATTAAGGTTGCAAGTGATCATTGAAAAAAACATTCGGAGGACTAGTGCAGAGGGTAGTACTCAGTCAACCTTGGCCAATTTCAGTAAAAGCTGTTTTACTGAAAGAATCTCATATGATTAAAAATAGTACAATAGCAACAAGGAGAAGCATAGAAACTGCAAATCACATTCATATTGTTGCCAAAATTGCATGAAGTCCTGAGAATCAAATTAAATTCAGGAAAGATTTTAAGAACATAAAAACTTGTTAAATTGGATCAACAGTTAATCAAATCTAACATTCTGTTTTCCCCAGTAAACAATAAAGCTAGAACAAGCGAATCTTCATTTATCTTTCCCTAGCAGCTGGTAATCGAGATATATCTCAATCTAAGGTAAAGAGCCATTTTGGTATACTGGTAAAAACATCAAGCTAGAAACTAGGAGATATGAGTTCTAGTCTGGCCTTGGGTATAAAGCCAGCTGGGTGGGCGACTTTGGGACAATCATTCTCTTAGCCCTAGCAAATAGGTAATGGGAAACCATTTCCAAAATCTTGCCAAGAAAATCGCAGGTAATTGCAGGCTGTTCAGGTAATCATTAGCAGTTAACATTGACTTGAAGGCAAAAAACAACAGACAGTAATAAGCAGCCATCAAAATTACAAAGTATAAGCTATTTACAGTCCGTTCCTCCATGAATTTGTCCTGTCCCATTAAAGCAGACTAAACCAGTGTTAAAATGATATTCCGTATCAAGAATTCTCAGTCCTGGGAGAGTATGAGAAACAAACTCAAAATAACTGTTATTCATAGACTCTTCATAAACTCTTAGTGACTCATGTTTCATGATTATCTGTAGGATAATAAGTATGATAATGAGATAAACAAGGATAATATGGAAACAAACATATCCCAGTTATGCTGGATCTCTAGCAGCCTTTGATACCATTGATTATGGTATCTTCTGCACCGACTGTGAAGATTGAGAATAAGAAACTCTTCAGTAGCCCCAAAGGTGCTTTTTCAAGAGGAACTGGACTTTCTTGGTTTTCTTTGAAGATGTTTTGCTTCTCGTCCAAGAAGCTTCTTCAGCTCTGAATGGAAGGATTCAGACAGCTGGTCATTTGCATTCTTTTAGAGAGTCGTTGATGCCACTTGGGGGTTTGTCTGTGTCCTCAGAGTCACCTGAATAGTGCAAATGGGTGTGGAGCCCTCTTGGAGCTGGTGAACTGCTGAAAGGACTGTGTTGTGGAACTGTGCTTTCTGCAGGTTGTTTTCTGCCCTGTGTCCCTTCACTGTTGAACACAGGTGCAGGCTGTTGGGGATGATTCTGTGTTGTCTGCATCTCAAACTTAAGTGCAAATGGTTTCTGTAGTCTGCAATTTTTCTGAAAATCAGTTCATACTCCCGTACCATTTGAAGGGCATTTATCCCAAAGTGCATAGCTAAATGTCTATGTAGATTCTCAGTCATCCAAGTCATGGCTGTCCCAAAAGTGCAAATTTCAAGAGGCAACTGGACTTTGTTTTTCTTTTAAGAAATTTCCAGAAAAATTGCAGACTACAGGATACATTCAAACTATCCCAGTTTAAGAACCACTGCTTTAATGACTCACCTATAACACTTTGCAGTTGGATTATAGAAATAGGCTCTACATGGGGCTGCCCTTGAAGACCATTCAGAAGCTTCAAATGGTGTAGTATGCAATTGGCATGGCTAGTAATTCTCACGTAATATCACTAGTATGGGAGTTACATTGCTGCCAATTAGCTCCTGAGTGAAATTCAAGCTGCTGTTTCCTTACATGGGTCAAGTCCAGGTATCTCTATGACTGCATTCTCTGAGTGGAACCTGTTAATCAAGACTTGCTGAGAGTCCCAGTACTGAGGGAATCCAGTTACATTGGATTGATGTTTTATAATTGATTGTATTATATCTCATTATATTAATACCATTTTGGGGGGAAAGTAGCATTTATGTAATAGGAATGCATGAATTATCCTTCTGAAAGATTCCAAGCATGAAATTTCCTTTTTTAAAAAAATTACAGCATCTAAGTCAGTGATGGCGAACCTTTTAGAGACCGAGTGCCCAAACTGCAACCCAAAACCCACTTATGCATCGTCGGGTGCCAGGTGGATGTGGCCCATTGGGTGGGCGTGGCTGTGATGGTAACAGCAGATTGGGTGGGACTAAAAAGTTCAATCAATCAATTCCAACTTTGCAAGATCTTTTTTTTCCCGTGAGAAGTTGAAATTAACTGATTGATTGAACCTTTTTTTTTGTACACGGCAGCGGAGGCTTAAAGCGAAAAAGTTTTATAAAACCCAGCTGAAGGCCTAGGACTGGGGCGACGGCGCGTGTGCCCACAGAGAGGGCTCTGAGTGCCACCTCTGGCACCCGTGCCATAGGTTCGTCACCACTGATCTAAGTAGTTAGTTAACATTTTCACTAATACGCCACCATGAGTCCCTGATTCAAGACTGGTTCCATTTTGTCCAACAAAATGTGTTCCACTACAACAGGGGTCCCCAGTACCGTGGACCGGTACTGGGCCGCGGCATGCCAGCAACTGGTCCGCACAAACAAGCAAAACCCCATCTATGGGATGCAGGCAGCACACAAAACCACACACTCTCTGGTCCATGGAAAAACCTTTCTCCATGGAACTGATTCCTGGTGCCCAAAAGGTTGGGGACCTCTGCACTACAAGATTGTGAAGAATAGGATGAAGGGGTGGGACTGAAACTCGAGGCTGACAGAAATATGTTTAAGAGAAACATATTTAATTTCAATAATTTCCAAGACTTAATAACAAATAGCTTCTTAAGAAAGAATTAATAAAAGAAATAGCCGTGCTCTGGCTGAATCATATATTATCTTTAAGAAATCCTACAGAACTGATTACCTAAATGACTGAGGAATGGCAATTGTTGTCCCTATCTTCAAAAAGGAGAAAAAGGAGGATCCAGGGATCACAGATTCAACACTGACATCAATAAAGGGGAAGACTCTCCTAGAGAATGGTTTTCGATTCTGGGAATCATGTTATAGGAAGGATTTATAAACTCAAAGAATGATTTGGGGATTAGAAATTAAGATCTATTTAGAAAGATTAAAGGAACAAAATATATTTAGGTCTTGAGAAAACGCAATTGAAGGAAAGTAGATCAAGACCTATTCCCTTTTTTTCCAAGGCACAGAACTTGGAATAATCAATCTAAATTGCAGGAAAATTGTTTCCACTTCAACACTAATAGAAATTATCTAAAAGTAAAAACAGTTCAACAGTGAAACCAATTATCCAGAAAAATAGTATCTGCTTCACTAGATATATATTCAAAAGGAGGACTAAAGATAATCTTTCAAAGATACTTTAATATGGATTTCTGCAGATTGAACTTGATGCTATAAATGATCCCCTCCAGCAGATCTGTTTAGCAAAAATAAATTAAAAACTTTAAGCAGCTTCTAAATAAAACGATTAACACATTTTAATATTTGTTGGAATGCAAATACTAATAAACTAATTCAGGGAGCCTAATTTAATTATTTTAATTTACTATCCCCAACATTCAGATATGTATTTTAAATCTGCAGATGTGACACTGATATGCAGTATTAAACAATTTATAAGACAGTGATACAACCTACTGTATAATTACATTAATATTTGTACATATTATGAGCATCAAATTTGTTCTTAAGTTTATATTCAATCCATAAACAAGCAAATTTCTTTTCTCAGGAAAAATTATCAACTTCTAAAGCTCTTCTTTTAAAAGGGACAGTGAATAATTGTTAGGGGAAAGAAAGCTAGATGAACTACAACGGCCTACTACATTTCTGCAAACTAGCCATACCATCTTGAGATTTTAAAATATTATGAACCTGGTTTTTTCCCCGTATTCTTTCACTGTGAATTCCTGAACTCCTATGTCTTAAAAGTGATTGGGTTACCTATAGTAAGCCACAACGACCATACATATATAACTGACAAAATCGGGATGATCACTAGGTTACCGCCAAGACATATAGAAAACCAGGGTTTCTTTAACCATGTTTTATAGGCAAACGTTCAACTGGCTAGCACACTAAGATATAACTATGGCTGAGTTCATAAAGCATTAAGCCCGAACTAAGTAAAGAACTTGATGCGTATTTAGGCCAACACAGCTAAGGCACTGGTAGCTGTGACTTCACATTATTGTGTATACAATAATATTAAATTTATATGCCGCCCGGCTCCTAGCGTTTTTGGTCGGTTAGCTTTAATTAAGCTTGGTAAAATAAACAAATACATTTAAAAGGCCTCTCCTCAGAAACTGGGGCAAAAAAAAATCAACCCGGAAGCGCTTCAAATGTTGAGCCGCCTGACATAAAATCTTCGGCCCAGTTATCGGCGAGGCCGTCTCTCACCTCGACCCCTGAGAAGTCTCTCCAACGACGATCTCTTACCGTTCGATCTGCTTCCGGCTCAGTCTGATGACGAAACAGGAAACAACCTCAGACTAGGGTGAAAGGTTAACTGTAGGCGCTGCTGAGCTTTGAAGCTGCGTTGTGTTATAGTTAAGGAGCGTATAGGGGAAAAAAACCCGAAAAGAGGGGATGATGCTGATATTACGGCCGACGGCATTGTGGGTCTCGAAAGGGCGGGTGGTTTTCCAAGGAAGGAGGTTTTCGGGGGCTGTGCACCAACAAGGTAAACTCATTCTTTTGAAGGGCTGACCTAACTGGAATTCAGCAGATCTGAGTTTGAAGCAGCAATAATATACAGGCATCTTCTTTCTCAGATTTAATTATATCTGCCTGCTGCGCGGCGTTTTCCTAAGCGTATCCCCTGCAAGGATAAAGTAAAAAAGATACGACACTCGCAGGGTGTGACGTTTGAGCAGCACTCTTGCATTTTGGAGGCAGGTTGTCATACAGTGAGAAGCTTAAGAAGTTGGGGTTCAGAGTCGTTTCCACTCCCATCCCCCCCCATTCCCCATTTCAAAGTGCATTTCTTAGAATTGTTTTGTTGTCTTTTGCTAGGTAAAGACCATGTTGATGAATCTTTACTCCGACCACTATATATGGATGTCCAAGCAACTACCTCTCTGGTATGTCAACTAAATTCTGGTTTGGGATTTTGTTCTTTACTAACAGAAAAATAAAACTAACCTGTATTTGCAGGATGGTTTATGCACACTTGTTTAGGGACCTGTCCCATTGCAGTCAAATGTTCTTTAGGAATAGACAATATTCTCATATTTTTCTCCAAGAGTTTAATGTGGATTATGTAAGAATCTCCCTTTATTCTTTTACACAATGGCAACTCTGTGAGGTAGTTTGGATTTGGCTATCCCAAAATCAGCAGAGTTTCCATTGCTATAAATGGCCTTGAATCTGAAGGTCCTTGTACAGGATTTTTATCACTATATGGCACTGGCTATTTGGTGACTTCCATATGTTTTATACAAAAATTATCATCATAAATCAGGGTGGTGAGAATAATAGTTGTAATCCAAAATATCTGGAGGTCTCCAAGTAGCCTACTCTGATTCGTAATGTTTGATTCATACACTCATCTACACATCTATGCTATATTAAACCTAATTAATGAATATATGTATAAATTTGAATGTTTACATCTTTATGTTAATTTTTATTTTAAAAAGTGCCTAAGGCTATCTCAATATTATACATCAAAGCTGAATTCAAAGGGGAAAAATGATTTGGAGAACAGAGACTACTAATATTACATCTGTCAGAAACTTCTTAAACTGGCCATGCAGTCTCAAAATCTTTTCCCTTTTGAATTAGGATTACTACACTGCCCTTTTATATATGCATCTACATGCACTTATGTATTGCATCTCTGTTAAAAGAACTGGATATATTCCTGACATTCATGGGAATCAAATAAGAGCAAAAACAAAGTAAAATGGCTTGCTATATATCTTATATTCTAGGACCCAAGGGTTTTGGATAGCATGCTGCCTTATCTTGTGCATTACTATGGCAACCCACACTCTAGAACTCATGCATATGGTTGGGAAAGTGAAACTGCAATGGAAAAAGCCAGACAGGTGAGAATATTATTTTGTTCTTAAAATTAAATAATACATCTGTTTCTGCTGTATTGTTAAACAGTTTCGTTCTGAAAAATGTTACAGATTTTTTCCAAACAATTCTGCTCTAATTTACATTTGTGCATTCCTTTGTTTCCCTCCAGCAAGTTGCATCATTAATAGGAGCAGATCCTCGTGAAATTATTTTTACCAGTGGGGCCACAGAATCAAACAATATAGCAATTAAGGTAAATTTATGTGTATATGTATGTAACTCTGGGCGGCTTACAGTTACACCTAAGTTAAAACATAAAAAGTTAAAATCAAACCTTAAAACCAAAGACCCATGGGGTGGAGTGGGGGGGGGAGGTGGGATTTGTTATTACTCAATCAACCACCTCCATTGCTCTGGTTCCCCCCTGGGGCCCCAAGCCAGCTGGCAAATCCAATATATTGCAGTATTAATTGAAAATGTTATAAAAATAGTAATTTCTCAGTACTATGAGAATTAAACAATTGCTGTGTTTCCCTTTACTTGTAAGGAAAGACGTATTTGAGTAAAGCAATAGCAACTAATGACATACCCATATTTTTTTTTCTGGACTATAAATAAATAGGTACTCCAGCTTGAACTGTATATATAGAAAAGATGGGATAAAAGTCTAAAAAAATATTTTTTTCTTTTTTCAGCAAAAAGCCCATAATGGGTTTCCAGTCACTAATAAATGTAATAATCTTTTCTCTAAACAACAAGTTCATCTTTTGGAATGGAAGCATACTTTATTGTTGATGTTGCTGACATTATACTTACTAATTCAAAAATCTCTTCTAGTATTTGAACTGTTAATAGCATTTTGTGTCATTTTATAAATTCCTGTAATAACTAAAAACTGAATGCAATTTTTCACTTTTTTTTCTTTTCTGCCTCAAGTCTTTAGTTCCCTCTAGTGTCCAATTTCTGAAATCATAGTCTCAGATACACATTATGCCTTAGGATAGTAAATAAACAATTTCTGAAAGTGATTAGAAACTGAGGTTAGTAAACTTGGTGTTCAAAAGACTCAGCTGCAGCTGATGCCTTTATCTCCCAGAGTTCTAATCCACAGGAGACCACTTGCCTGCATCTTATCACAGGGAGCAGCATTCCAGAGCACCTGTGGGCAATCTCTCCTCCTCTCCTTGTCTGGAGAGGTTCCGAAAAACTGGTCTAATTGCCAGTTCAGGTTTTGCCACAGTTGTTGTTTCTGCTCTTTCCAAGATATACTAGTTTGCCTGGAAGTTGTTTTTTCTGTAGATGAAATATTCTGTGATTCATTTAACTATTCGTCCTATAGCTTCATTTCCCGGCCTTTCATCATCTTGCTAGCCTTCCTATAAATTTGTTTTAATTTGTCACTACCGTTTTTGAACTGAGGCCCAGAATGATCACAGATCATCTATCATCTGGATTCTGTGAGCTTGTTAATACATCCCAACATAGCATTTGTTTTATTAATGCTAGCTGATGTTTAACTTATGGTTAGCAAAAATACCCAGCATCCCTTTACATATATACATCTAGCCAGTCTCATCCTGTACTTCTGCCTTGTATTTTTCTTGCCCAGATACAATGTGTTTCATGTCTCCCTGTTAAATTTCATCCATTTAATTCCATACATTACTCAGATCTATCTGTATCTTCTTTTAATCTTCTCTCTTTCATTTAAATTATTACCCATTCCTTTGATTCATCTACAAACTTTATAATTTTCCCCTTTATAAGTTCCTCTTCTCTCAATCAAATCATTGATAAATCATTGACACTAGAGACACTCAATGGCTGAATTGAAGCTATTAATGAACTCCATTAATAAGTACTCTCTGGGTATGATCATTGCACTAACTGCAAGTTCATCTAACAGTATTATCATCTTGTCTGTATTTTACCATTTTGTTAAGGATTATCATGAGGCACTATGTCAAAGACTTTATACTAAGGTTCAGATTTACTGTGTCTGTGGCATTCCCCGATTTACTTAGCACGTACCCCTGTTAGAAAAAAATCGAAGTTAAACTGCATGATTTATTTGTGACAAACCTATGCTGAGGCTTAATCATAGTTTGCCTCTCCAAGTGTTCATAGACTCATTATCGGTTCAAAAACCTTGCCCAATATAGATACCATGCTAACAGACCTGTAATTTTCCTGGTGATCCTCCTTGTTGAAGATGGGGATAACATTTGCTCTCCTCCAGTATTCTGCTTGACTAAATTAAAGCCAAAATCATAATTTTATACTTGAAATTATACTGAGTGTAATTACTTCCATATATGTGGAGAACTGCAGCATGGATATTTCATTGGAAACAAACCTTATTAATGTCAATAGAATTTATTTCTGAATAGGCAATTTCAAACTTTTGGTTACAGTTGCCTGAAGCCTTAAGGAAAACGAAAATTTTATATTTCTAATTTAATATTCATGAAAACTATCACTTGTCATCACTTTTGATCAAAATCTTGTTTTTTTCTTGTATCAATTTAAAAGGGTGTTGGAAGATTTTATAAATCCAGAAAGAAACATATAATTACAACACAAACTGAGCACAAATGTGTGCTAGATTCTTGTCGTGCCTTAGAAGCTGAGGGCTTTCAAGTCACCTACTTGCCTGTAAAGAAAAATGGCCTTATAGATATAAAGGTAAATGATTTTCTTTCAAATATTTGTACATCTGAAGAATAGAGTGCTCTTTCAATTTTTTGCTGTCCTCATTAGCCTTAGTATAGCTTGCTGGAGAGAATTTCCTCAATAAAAACAAACAAAATGTTTGTAAGGTAGAAGGTTAGAACTGATGTTCAGACTGTTAATCATTTCCAGTAGATCTAAATACATTAGTAAATGCAATTTAAAACATAGTAACCTTGTTGTTCTCACATTGAGGTAGTTTGATTAAATGGTAATAGTTTACTTGTTAAGGTGTAATTCTAAGAATACTAAGACCATAAAGTACTCAATTTAATGGAACTATTGAGTATGCATACATAGGATTGTATCAAATAACATTCATTTGTTTGTTTGTTAAAACTTGCTGCTTTTTAACCTCAACAAGAATTTTGACCTGGGATTCCATTTAAAGATAGAAATTATAAAGTCACCATAATTTTAAAGAGAGTAGGAAAAGCTTGAAGAAAATAGCTTCTTGACTTGTTTCCATATCCTTACCAGGTAGCCATAGGAGGCATATATATTTTATTTGTATAACAAAGTAATATTCTGCATGTGTCGGTATGTATATTTCTATTGTCTTGTGTTGTCTCTGTATTTGTGTATTTGCACATTGGGAAGGCTACTTATGCTTTGTTCTAAGTCCTATGACTAGGAGGGAAGGGGGTTAGAATAGCAATCACCAACCTTCTGAGCCACTGCACAAATACCTCTCCCATAGGAATATATTGGGGGGATTTTTTTTTCCTAGCCTCCAACCTTTCAGATTTTGTCTACTGTTTCCTACATACAAGTCTTTACCCTATTTTGTTCAGCTTTCAGAGAGGTATCCTGCTGAAAGGCAAATAAAGTCCATAGATCCTTTATGCAATTTCTTTCCAGCTTTAAAAATTAAAGTAATCAGGATTTGATGGGCTATATGTGGTCTTATATATTAATACACAGATTTGTAGCCATCTTTTATCTTTTTTAATATAATTCTATGTAGTGTATGTTACGCTTCTAAAATAGTTGTTAACTAATTGAACAAAATCCATGAAAGCAAAAGGTCTATCAAGCAGTAGAATATTGCAATGTGGGAAGAAATATTTTGTTTTCCTTGATTTTAGACATTACTTGACCACTCAGAGGCAATGTATGACTAATTTCATCTATATTGGGATTCATCAGGTATACCAACCATTACAGTTACTTTCTCTCTTGTGGAGTGGTGGAATTGTGGGGCCTGTATTATGAGGGCATGACATAAAATGATAGCTCTGTCTCTGTAGTCTGAGAATACAAATAAGAAAGATAAGATGTATACAATGCATAATTTGTTTTCCTTGGATTGCCCAAGGCTATGCAAGGCTATATCAAACTTGAACTGATAGAATGAACTTAGAATAAGCTATTTTAACATTTTAGTGGCCAGTTCTGATGATGATGGTGGTGGTGGTGGTGGAAGGGACCTTGGAGATCATCTAGTCTAACCCCCTGCTCAGGCAGGAAACCCTATACCATTTCAGACAAATGGCTGTCCAGTCTCTTCTTAAAAACTTCCAGTGTTGGAGCATTCATCGCTTCTGGAGGCAGGTTGTTCCACTGGTTAATTGTTCTAACTGTCAGGAACTTTCTCCTTAGTTCTAGGTTGCTTCTCTCCTTGATTAGTTTCCATCCGTTGTTTCTTGTCCTGCCTTCAGGTGCTTTGCAGAATAGTTTGACTCCTTCTTTGTGGCAATCCCTGAGATATTGGAACACTGCTATCATGTCACTCTAGTCCTTCTCTTCATTAAACTAGACATACCCAATTCCAGCAGCCGTTCCTTATATATTTTAGCCTCCAGTCCTCTAATCATCTTTGTTGCTCTTCTCTGTACTGTTTCTAGAGTCTCAACATCTTTTTTACATCGTGGTGACCAAAGCTGGATGCATATTCCAAGTGTGACCTTACCAAGGCATTGTAAAGTGGTATTAACACTTCACATGATCTTGATTCTATCCCTCTGTTAATGCAGCCCAGCACTGTGTTGACTTTTTTTGGCAGCTGCAGCACACTGCTGGCTCATATTTAAGTGATTGTCCACTAGGACTCCGAGATCCATCTCACAGTTAACTACTATTGAGCAAGGTACCACTTATACTGTACCTGTGCATTTGGTTTTTCTTCCCTAAACATAGAACTTTACTTTTTTCACCATTGAATTTCATTTTGTTAGATTGCACCCAATGTTCAAGTCTGTCAAGATCTTCCTGTATCTAAAGGAGTGTTGGCTATTCCTGCCAGCTTGGTGTTGTCTGCAAATTTGATGAGTTCCCCATCAATCCCCTCATCCAAATCATTGATAAAGATGTTGAAGAGCACTGGCCCACTACACACTTCCCTCCATGTAGATGCAGTTCCACTGAAGACCACATGCTTATGGCCAGTCAGCCAACTATGAATCCATCTGGTGGTGATGCTGTCTAACCCACATTTTTCTATCTTACAAAGTAGTAGGTTGTTATCTATTTTATCAAATGCCTTACTGAAGTCCAAGTAAATTATATCCACAGCATTCCTCTGGTCCACTAATTTTGTCACCTGGTCAGAGAATGCAATAAGATTTGTCTGACATGGTCTGTTTTTGACAAACCCATGTTGGCTTTTGGTAATGACTTTGTTTGCCTCTAGGTGTTCGCTGATTCGTTGCTTCATTATCTTTTCCAGAATCTTCCCAGGTATTGAGGTCAGGCTGATAGGTCTGTAGTTTCCTGGATCCATTTTTTTCCTTTTTTAAAGATGGGAACTACATCAGCTCTTTTCCAGTCCTCTGGTAGTTCCCCACTGCTCCAGGATCTTTGAAAGATATAGTTCAGTGGTTCTGAGATCACATCTGCCAGTTCCTTCAAAACATTGGGGTATAATCCATCTGGTCCTGGTGATTTAAACTCATCTAGGGTGGACAGGTGCTCACTTACCATTTTCTTGCCTACCTTAACTTCTGTTTCTAATCTGTTTTTTACAGGACTGTTTTTGATAGGTTGGACTGTTTTTTCCCTTTGTGTAAAGACAGATGCAAAAAACGAGTTAAATAGTTCTGCTTTCTCCCTGTTGCTTGTCACCTTCTTGCCATTTTCTCCCACTAATGGACCAATAATTTCCTTAAACTTTTTATTGTTTTTTACATGTTGAAAGAAGCTTTTTTTTTGTTATTTTTGACTTTTGTCGCAAGCCTTAGTTCATTTTGAGCCTTAGCTTTCCTCACTTCATCTTTGCAGGCCTGGGCTATTTGCTGATATTCTGCCTTAGTTATGTGCCCCTTTTTCCACTTTTTATACTTGTCCTTTTTGTCTTTCAATTTATCAGAGAGTTCTTTATGCAGCCATGCTGGTTTCTTTTGAGAGCTGTTATTTTTCTTCTTAGTTGGTATTGTGCTAAACTGGGCTTTTATAATCTCACTTTTCAAAATTTGCCAAGCTTCTTGAGTTGTTTGCCCCTTGAGGATTCTCATCCATGGAATCCTTCCCAAGCTCTCTCTAAGTTTATTGAAATTAGCTCTCTTAAAGTGCAAGACTCCAGTTTGACTGTGTTCTATTGCTTGTGCTTGCATAATGTTGAATTCCAATATTGCATGATCACTCCCTCCCAAGATTCCTGTGACTTCAATACCTTCTATCATTTCATCTCTGTTAGTGAGAATTAAGTCCAATATGGCTGATCCCCTAGTTCCCTTCTCTACTTTTTGGGAAACAAAGTTGTCTGCTAATTTGTCAGGAATTGTTTGATCTTCCACTTTGTGCAGAGTTTGTCTCCCAGATGATGTCAGGATAATTAAAGTCCCCCATTACTATTGTGATGTGCTTCCTACATCCCTTAGTTAACTGACTAGCAAAAGGTTCATCTATTTCCTCTGCTTGGTTGGGTGGCCTGTAGTATACACCTATGGCAATGTCATTTCCCCCCCCCTTTTATATTGACCCAAATGCATTCAAGACAGTTTTCATCATTGTTGTGCTCTATTTCTGTAGAGATGTAGTTATTTCTTATATAGAGAGCAACTCCACCTCCTCTTTTATTTGGTCTGTTTCTTTTAAATAATTTAAATCCCTGTAGCTGTGTGTTCCATTTGTAGGTTTCAACCCACCAAGTTTCCGTAATGGCAACAATATAATATCTGCCCTCATTTACCTGAATTTCTAATTCACCGTTTATTGCTCATACTCTGTGCATTGGTGTATAGACATTTGAGTCCTTTATATAACTGACCCTGTGTTTACTTTCTACATAACCTGTATGGTGCACCTGTTTGATTAGTGCACTTTGTGTGGCACTCACTATTAAAAGCTTGATTTTGCTTGACAGCAAGGCTGATATTCTTATACACACACACATCTATGTTACATGCACCGATAATTTTTAGATTGCCGGGGACAGGAATGTTCTCTATCAATTAACTCACTGTCCCCATTGTTCAGTTTAAATATTTCTCCAGAAAATCTGTGAATTTATTGCCAAGTAACTCAGTCCCTTTCTTTGATGGATGCAAACCATCTCTTTTGTACACTTTGTCATTGGACCAGCTGCAGACATTGTGACTAATATAACCAAAGCCTTCCCCTTTACACCACACCTTTAGCTACTACATATTGAATTCTGCTATATGCTGGCCTTTTCCATTTTGTTCCTAATACACTGGTAAAACCTCTGAAAAAGTAAGCCTACAGCCCATTATATTTCACCTTTTGAACTTGAACTGGTTTGTATATATGTAATTATTTCCCTCTTTTATGATTTTTGCCAGGAACTGAAAAATGCAATACAACCTGATACAAGCCTAGTGTCAATAATGACTGTGAATAATGAAATAGGAGTGAAACAACCAATTAGTGATATAGGTATGTAGACATGAATTGTGATCTGTGCTCCAAGTAATGTCCTGTGTAAAACAATGGAGGACTCATCATATATAGGCTAACCTGGATTAATTGGTTAAAACTAGTCACAGTTTTATTACATACCTACAGACACAGTATAGGTAGTCATTGATTTACAATAGCAAAAGGGCTTGGAATTGTTGTCCTTAAATAATGCAGTCACGAAGCATGACCACATCACTTAGCAACAACGATCCATGCAGCCCTAGTTAATCCCATGGCCATTAGCTAAGGCAGCTTCTGGCCAGCTTCTCACAACAAAGTCAGCAGGGAAACAGACAGGAAATAGCAAGTTTAGGCAGCTGGCCGTCTGCAAGTAAGTGGGTACTGCTGGGTAGGGAAGGAGATAGGGCTTGGGGAAGATACATAAAGGTGCAAGGGAAATGCAGTGAGGATTGGGGAGGGTGCAAGGGAGATGCAACAAGAGTTGCAGAGAGTGCATGGGGATGCATGAGGTATGAGGAAGGCACAAAGAGGCTCATGAAAGATGCACAGGAGTATGCAAGTGGCTTGCACAGTACAAGCGCAGAGGAGTTGAGTGAGTGGCATGGTGGGGGAGATTTACCCTAACAACTTGCGATCTACCTGGCTTCCCCATTTACTTTCTGGGAATGACTTTCTCCATAGAGAGGGAAAGGTTGCAAATGGGCATCACATGACAGCAGGACCCTGCAACTGGTCATAAGTACAAGCTAGTTGCCAAGCATCCATATCACAATCATGTGTCTGTGGGAATGCTGGAATGGCTGGAACTCTGCAGATCGATCATCACCACCATTGTAACTTTGAATGGTTGCTCAATGAATGGTGACAAGTTGACCATTAAACTGTATCAGTTTATTGCCTCCAGCTTCCGTCATGAATTCTGCCAGTAAGTAAAATTTGTCTATAGCCTTACTGTCTAATGGCTGACTTCTCTATATAATACAAGAAAGAGTCTGAGGTTTATGAACTGTAGGTAGGAGAAGTTAACTTAGAAAGAACCAGGGGATATTTCTTTCTTTTCTTTTTTGGTAGCCTTTCTTTTAGAGCTTCTCACTAGCTTCCAGGGCAGATGCTAAACACAACATTGAAGAAAGTGAATTAGTTAGTGAGCTGCCTACCTCCCTATATTAGAGACAAACACTTCCTATAAATGTGAATCGAGTTATACATGAGGAAAAAACAATTCTTTTGATTAATCCTCCAAATTATCCTTTGAAGATAAAATATTCGTTTGTATACTTAAAATACTTATTTTAAGATGACAGAAATAACTATACTGTGGTGTGTGTTTTTTTAATTCCAGGTGACATTTGCAGTGCCAATAAAGTATTTTTTCATACAGATGCTGCACAGGCAGTTGGAAAAATCCCTCTGGATGTCAGTGATATGAAAATTGATTTAATGAGCATAAGTGGCCATAAAATTTATGGTCCCAAAGGTATTAATATTTTGTGGGTCTCTGTATTTAAGCAAGAAAGAGTCATTATTGTATTAATGTTTTAATTGCTGAACTGTACTTCATTATAATTTCCCTAAGATTATGGAGTGATTAATACTGAAGTAAGAGCTTATTGTTCTTTATTTACTTTTTTAGAAATATTTAAAGACTTCTTTTGAAAAAGACAATCACATATTGAGGCATTATTTTAATTGAATTGTAGGATTTTCTTTGTTATAATTCTTAAGCTTTTTATGCAGGAAAAGTATGTAAATATTTTAAAATTATGTGGAAGCATTATTTATTTTAAGATAGCATTGATCCAATTATTCTGTATAATCTAGGAAGTATTTAGATTTTCAGCTCTTTTGGGTCCATCAATGCCTTAGGATTTAGCAATGACTGAAAGCTTAAAGGAAACAGACAAAGAAGAATGGTTAAATAATTGAAACAGATTGCCACTTTATAAACATAACCTGTCCCTATGGTAATTAAATTGAAACTGCTAAAGATTCTTTGTCTCCTCTGTAATTTTGAGTGTTAATTTCCCCCACTGATTTGTAGCCATGAAATTCAGTGTGAAGTGATTATACAGTAAAGTCAGTTTGTTAGAAGTCCAATTTGCATTTGAATGTAACTGAATTTCTTCTAAGCAGTACAATATTTCTGCAACAAGCATAGCTTGATTTTCTGCATTATGGTTTTGTTATACAAGTAGTCCTCAACTGATAGCAGTTCATTTAGTGACTGTTCAAAGTTACAATGGCATTGCAGCATCCCTGAATGGTATAAGGTTTCCTGCGTAAGCAGGGGGTTGGACTAGAACACCTCCAAGGTCTATTCTATTCTATTCTATTCCATTCCATTCCATTCCATTCCATTGCATTCCATTCCCCTGGTCACATGATCAAAATTCAAATGCTTGGCAACTAACTCATATTTATGACAGTTGCAGTGTCTCACAGTCATGTGATCACCTTTTGCGACCTTCTGACAAGCAAAGTCAATGGGGAAGCTAGATTCTCTTAACAACTAGGTTACTAACTTAATTACTGCAGTGATTCACTTAACAACTGTGGTAGGAAAGGTTGTAAAATTGGGCAAAATTCACTTAAATATTTCCCTTAGCAACAGACATTTTAGACTCAGTTGTGGTTATAAGTCGAGGACTGTATTAGGAGAATGAAGCTTTCTAAATCGGGGTAACAGTTTGAATTCAGAAGTTGTGTTAGTCTGCCTATTCACATATATTATATCAGATAGGCTTTTCTTTTTCCAATCCTTTTTTTCTTTTCTTTTTTCTTTTCTTTCCAAAGTGTCTTAATATTCGTGTAGTCGGAAACTAAAACGTACCTAACTACGTCATTATGTGAACTTAAAATCTAAAGACTGTGATACGAATCTTTTGCAGACGATCAATCTTTACCTTAACGATTCATTTTAATTCTTAGGACTAATTTTTAATATAAAACGTGTAAATATTCGGAGACTTTATATAACTTGACTTTTTTTTATTGTGTGTTCAAGGGGTTGGTGCAATTTATGTCCGGCGGCGACCAAGAGTAAGAGTGGAACCTATACAGAGTGGAGGAGGTCAAGAGCGAGGATTACGTTCTGGAACTGTGCCAACTCCATTAGTAGTTGGCCTTGGGGCAGCTTGTGAATTGGCACAGCAAGAAATGGAGGTAAAAAATGTGATTCAATTTCTCTGTACAGGTAGTCCTCAACTTACAACTAGTCACTTACTTACCATTTGAAGTTACAACCTACCCAAAGAAAAGGACTTATGACCCATATCTAACATTCCAACGGTCTGCCCCCCATGATCACATGACCACACTTCGGGCACTCAGCAACATGGCTTCATTTACAGCTATTTGCAGCATAGCCTGGTACTTACTTCTGGCTTTCAGCAAAACTGTGTCCATAGCAAGCAATGGGTTCACACTTATGATTGCCACATTCACTTAATGACTGTTGCAAAAAAGTTGTAAACTCAGGCCAGTCATGTGACTGACCCATTTTATGACCATCATGACATACAATCATAATGGGCAAGCTCCACTATGGCCGTATGTTGAAGACTACCTGTGTAGTCTACCCACAGCATATTTAGGACTCTCTGTTTTTGACATATTCTTAGCATGATGATTTAAATTGAATGTCTACAATATTGTTACCAGCATGTAGTGATCTAAAATTGGATTTAATATGTCTTTTACCTATTGAATTATTTTGATCTATTTTTCATTCTTAGCGTTTTTTCAAAAAAATGTGCAGTGCAATTTGTTTTAATAATAACTAAAATTCAATTATTTGTTGAACTGTCTTAATTTGTTTAATGTATCTATTATATGTCTTGTGACCCCTCCCATTTTAGTTCACAGGCCTTTTCTTATGAGTCTCAGTCTTGATACTGGTAAGAAAAGAGGTTTGGCAGTTTTTGTGATCACCAGTATTGAGGCAAATTCTATTGGATTTTTTCTTTTTCCTTTTTTTATAAGTGTCTCTGTTTTGCTTAGCTAGTGAGAAGCTCTAAATAAATCAACATTTATATTTACATTGCCCTTTGGGTAGTCTTTATTATGCAGAAGCAAACGGCATACAGGTAGTCCTCAGTTAACAACCAATCATTCAGCGACTATTGAAAGTTATGACACTGCTGAATGAGTGGTACTTACAACCAGTCCTTGAAGTTGTGGCCAGTGTGGCAACCCTGTGGTCACATGATCACAATTTGGATGTTTGGTAATTGACTAGCCCTTACAACAATTGCAGCATCCCATAAAGTCAAGGGGGAAACTGGCAGATAATGTTGCAATTTGCTCCCACTCCTATCACATTTTCTCAAGGATTCCCACTTTGGAATATGAGATCCTGGGGATCTTGTACTCTGTAGCATTTTCCTGCCCTTGCTTGCATTCCATTGCTTATCCCCCACCCAGTGGAGTTAATGCTGGACCATAGCACCCACCTGTGTACTTACCCACACTCTATAGCATGCACATCCCTGCTCAGCCACAATTGTGCCAGGCTACAGCACCTACCTGCCCATCCATACTCTGTAGAACATACCCACCCACCCATTGTTCTGCTTGCGAACCACCTAAGGAATGGCTCGTGACTGGGACCTGCAACTTCTTGTCAGCTTTTCCATTGCCTTTTCATGTTGGAAGCCAGCAGAAAGTCACAATTTGTGGTCATGTGAAATATTTAATTGATTGTTTGATTGATTGTTTATATGCTGCCCATCTTACTATCAAGCAACTCTGGGGAGTATATACATTTAATAAAGAAAGAAATAATGACACATAATCCTTGTTTAACAATAGCAACTGAGAATTGCTGTCACTATGTGATGCAGTGACATACTTCATGCTTTATAACTGAATTGCTTAGTGAAAGAAATTCCAATCCCAAATACTGTCATTTAGCAAGGAGTATACTAAAGTAATATTACAATAATAACAAAACTTTTATGGTTAATGTATATGAATTTGGATGAAGAAATGTATGTGTTATTATTTCTAAGTTTTGATGGTGTCAGTGTGTTCTGTTTTCTACTCCTGTTTAATAATAAAACTAGAAATGATTGAGGTAATTAGAGTAAACTGGTCAAAGTTCAAATCCATTGTGATAAATTAATTAGTTTTTGTTTCTTTTCTAGTATGACCATAAACGAATTAGCTTATTAGCTGATAGGCTAATCACAAAAATAATGTCAGAAGTTCCTGATGTTGTAATGAATGGAGACCCAGTGCATCGTTATCCAGGTATAATTAGCAGAATGTTGACTTTTGTCATTATTCAGTTGTTGACAAATATATATTAATCTTTAATCTTAATTTATTGAGGTTCACCATTAAACACCCTATAAACTATAACTTTGTTAAGACATCACTATAGAGGAAATTATGATTGATCGACAACGAGACATTACAGGTTACTGAATACCTGACGTGTAGCAAAATTAATACAAAATATAGAGGTTTTTAATGAAAATTTATCCCACGATCTTTAACTCCAGTGTGTGGAAATGAAGAGCAGAGAAGAATCCTCTTATAGTCAAGGAAAATCTTGTTTCTTTTTTTTTGTGCCATCTTCATAACTGACTGACTCTGAGGGTCTTATAATGACAGCTGCAGCATAACAGATTGCTTGAGTATATAACCACATTAATTTTCATAGCTGCTGTATGGCACTTCAGAAGACATAAAAAATAAAATTCCTGTAAAGAAGAATAGTTCTAAATACTGGAAGTTTAAGATTATTAAATAATCTGACCTTGCTCTGTTAACAATGCAGGCTGCATCAATTTATCATTTGCGTATGTGGAAGGGGAAAGCTTGCTGATGGCCCTGAAAGATGTGGCACTCTCTTCTGGAAGGTATAACTTTATATGCAAAATGGCATATGATTCAGCTTAATCTGTTTCTAGAGAAAAGATTGCTTGGAATTTCCAAAGAAACTGGAATTTTGAAAGAAAATCAGAATAAAAGAGGCATATAACCTAAAAATCTAGGTTGCATCTGTATTCATTCTATTCAGAATCGTCTTCTTAATTATGAATGGCATTGACTGGCTTCCACTCATTTCACTTAAAAAATGCTGTTAAGATTTCAGGTTCCTTTTTAAAAACAGTAGATATGTGCTAAACTGGAGAAACTAGCAATGAGGTTTTACTATTGAGAATGGAAGCCATCAGCTAATTCTTTTTGTTTAATCTTTTTTCTTCTCAATTATTTTAATAATTTGAATGTGCCAATGAATTCATGAGATACTTCCAATGATCCAGTTCACGTATAATCCTCTTGACTATATTGTCTTATATTTGGCTCTTTTTTCTTTTCTTTTTTTTTCCTTCTCCATTCCTTCATTGATTTTGCAAAATAAATCCTCTTTTCAGAGAAACATGCCACTTTCATTAGAACCAGGTTTCCAAAGTGATTAAAAGAAGGTTATTTATTTATTTATTAAAAGAAGGTATATTCAGAGTATACCTAACTGTAACCTGCTGCTTTCATGCTTACTCTTGCTTTGCATTAAAACAAGTATCATATTATTTTCTTGTTAGTGCTTGTACATCTGCATCTTTGGAACCGTCATACGTATTGCGTGCAATTGGAACAGATGAAGACTTGGCTCACTCATCCATAAGGTAAGGGTTATTTTGATAAAAGGAAAATTGCATGTCATCTTTGTATATATGTTTTGTGCTTGATTTGTGTTTTACTTTATTTCAGATTTGGAATTGGACGTTTTACTACTGAAGAAGAAGTAGATTATACTGTAAATAAATGCATACAACATGTGAAAAGATTAAGAGAAATGAGGTAAATATTTTTTATTAAAAATAGCATTTTTATTTGTTTAAAATTAAATTTAGATAAAGATTATGAAGAGAATTAGATTATTTGTTATCTCCTTCAGTTGTGCCTGCTGTGAAATTATCAGATCTATATAGCTAATTTAAGTGGCTGTTATCTAGGGCCTGTATGTATGCTTTGTCATTAGAATTATACTAATAGTATTATATGTTATATGTTGTATTCAGATCTAACATGGGTAACAATGTTTTGGATGAATCACAGGTATCTTTGCTGTATCTGTCAGTAGCTGTCTGTAAAAAAAAAGTATTATTTGTCTTATAACAAATATAATTTATAGTTCTGAGGAACTGAAATTTAATTTTTCTTCTTATTTTACAGCCCACTGTGGGAGATGGTACAGGATGGAATTGATTTGAAAAGCATTAAATGGACACAGCATTAAAATACATACAGTATATATCAGACTGCATGGTTGTGGATTAAATGTTTCTGTACATTCCTGAGAAAAAGTATATAGTTTCAAGTGTGCAATCCGTGGGTAACCAGTGAAATGCTCTTTTTAAATACAGAACCTGAAAACTAATTCTAAGGCAGAGTTTTGTTTTGTGCATTAACTTTCACATAAAGAAGTATAAATGGACATAAAATATGTTGACACCAAAGAAACTGCAGTACTTTTATTTTTAGGTGATTTTGTTGCAGCTTGGTATAATGAGATTTCAGAATTGTATCATTGTGGAAAAATGATTGATTTTGTTTCTTCTGTAAGTATCATGAGGCTATTTTGAATGTATTTTATCAACATATTACTTTTCAGAAACATACATTCAGGAATAATGTTTCTTATAGAAAGTTTACTTTACTAAATCCTACGTCTTATGCTTACGCACTAGTGCTTGTTATATAGCAGTGAGCATGCTAAACTAAGTAAATCTATAGGTAGATTTTCCTATATAAAATTCAAGTGAAAGTGAAAGAATTAATGTTATGTATTTCATACAGTTATGTATTTCATGTAGAAGCTGCACAGATGCAATTTTTGTGCTTAAACAACTAATAGAAAAAAATATGGAATACAATAAGAATTTCTTTGTTGCATTTGTAGACCAAGAAAAAACATTTGGTAGAGTTCATAGGAAACTGTTATGGCAAACACTGAGCCAATATGGAGAATGCAAAAGCTTATATAATGATTGCAGAACTGTAGTCAGAACAAACCAAGGAACATCAGAACCCTTCATATCCGGAGTAAAACAGGCATGTGTACTATCACTACTATTGTTTATCACCTACATTGACAGCATAAGCAAAGAAGACAAACCCAAGAATGGAAATAATAACAAAGTACTCTGCAGACAATTAGGCATTGATAGCAAGTACATCTAAGAAATTGCAACAACATCTTATGGCCTTGAACCAAGAATGCCAGACAAATAATACAAGAATCAGCAAAGAGAAAACAGAAGTAATGCAGCTGGAAGAAAAAAGCATATCCTAAACATAGTAATAGAAGGAACAAGCATAAAACATGTATCAAAGTTCTAATATCTAGGAACAACATTCACCGAAGATGGTAAAATGGACAAAAAGATTAACATAGGATGCACTAAGGCAAACCAAGTATTAGGACAGCTTGCTCTGGTCCTACAATATAAGGCAGTACCGATCAACACAAAGAAACATCTCATGCAAAGCATATTCATCCTCACCCTATGTTACCAGTGCCAAACATGGACACTTCCAACAAAACAAACGAAAGTTAGTCACCACGGAAGAGGAGGAGGAGGAGGAGGAGGAGGAGTTCATGCAGTCAACATGTTGATTTTTAAAAGTAATATAAGAGGATGCTGGGTTAAAAGAACAAATTTGTTTGGAAATTGCCTGCTTTTGTTTTCTCACATTCATTAAAAATATTTGTTCCTTTCCTTTCTCACATTCTGAGATTCTATTTGCCTTACACTGAATCTTCTATTATTCTTCCTCCAATAATGCTGCTCCACACTATCTCTGGAAGCTGAAATATTCTAGCTACATGGATAGCAGTCATCCTGATTGGATTCCAGGATATTTTTATGGTGCCATTCAAGTTATTACATCCATGTTGTGACAGACAGGGAAAAAAAGAAGAAATAGTGGATTAGTTTTATGGTCGTGTTCTATCTGAAATAAATTGAACAAATATGATGTATTGCTTATGGTTGGAAATCAGAATGTCAAAGATGAAATAGTGGGGAAGAAAAGCAATTGGACCATATGGCCTAGCAAACAAAAATGAAGCAGAAAAATAACTTATCAGTTTCTGCTAATTGAATTATTCCTTCATTGCTAAGTTCTCAAGAGGAGGTGCTAACCTCGAATTGGTATGTTGAAGGACACTAATGAAGAGATAATAACTGATTTAAAGATCAAGTAAAGATGGAAATAATAATGTAATTTTGTACAGTAGAAAAATCAATATCTAAAAAAAATCTTAGAAAATATTGCTTATATACAAGAACCTTTGGTGTTAGGATATGAAATTAGATTAATATACTATTCATAAATTTAAAAGACCACAGAATTTGATGGACTCTATAGAAATATGGCAAGAAAGAGGAGAAGAATCAGAAAAAGATTCCAACCAAACTATATACCAAATCTGGAGAATGACACAGTGACCCCCAGATTGAAGAAGTCAATCTACATACCAATATCAAATAAATATTTAATGAAGTATTCAAAGTATTCTTAATTTCACATCCTAGGAAAACAATGGATGGAATCACCCAATGCAGATTAGAGAACTACATGGTAGAGATGCCAAATGTTCAAGATGGGTTTTGCAAATGTTGAGGGACAAGACTCATTATTGCAGATGCATGCTAGACAATTGAGAAAACCAAAGAATAGAGAAAAAAGACAAGGCCTTTGATCGTATTGACCATTTCAAGCTATAGATCATCCTTAGGAAAATGAGAATTCCAAAATAGATCATTGTCCTCTTGTGAAATCTATATCCAGAATAGGAAGCCGCAGTCTGGATGAAATATGGCAAAACAGACTGGCTTCATAATGACAAAACAGTGAGACAAGGCTTATACTATCTCGTTAATTCAGTCTGCATGCTGAATACATATTGAGATAGGATTGATTAGAAGAAGATGCACATTTAAAATTGATGGAACAATGTAAATAACCAGCACTATACTGATTATACTACTCTCATATGTAAAAATGCAAATCATTTGTAAGGTCTAATGAATTTAGGAAGCACAGAGAAAAATGGATATAAGATTAAATGAAGACAAAAATACCAAAGTGTTGACAATTTTTTCCTTTTAGGATCATCAGTAAAGGAAGCAGCATATAACAAATACGCTTTGTATTAATACATAGGATATCTATGAGAGCCTTGGAAAAAATGTTCAGATGTTACGACATACCTGTATCTACAAAGATTAGCACTGTGCAGGCAGTACTTTCCTTGTGATGCTCTATGGAAGAGACATCTTGGCTTTGAAGAAGCAGGATAGAAAGTATTGCTGTTTTTGAATTTTGGTGTTGGAAACTTGTGAAAATACAATAGCCAAGAAAATAAACAAATGGATCACAAAAACAAAACCCAAAATTCTCACTCAAGCCTCAGATTGTATTTTGGGTACATTACATGAAGATCTAGTTTTCTTTAGAAGTCTATAATGCCTTACATCTTGTGTTGTATAACACATATAAACAAGATTATAGTCCCAGTAATATAACTGCCTCCAGGCACTGAGTTATATCTTAATCCACATCTGCTGCTTGGCCAGATGTATTGGGATGTGAGAATAATTTTGAGGAACAAAGGACTACAACCAAGACAACAATAAAATAAAATAAATCTGAGGCCAAACAAATGTAATTTGAGGAAATATCTGACTTGACTGCCTAGTTCTGTTATAGTTAAAGGCAGGGAGGGCAAAGGCACTTTCAAACTTGAAAGATTCTGTTACTATAACTCCATAATAAGTAGTTTTAGTTTTCATAACTTTAATTTTCTAGTCTGGTCTCTACCTCAAAGGACTGACATGCTAGCAGGATACAGTTATGTACCAAAAGCATATTGATGATATCTTATCCCATACTATTGGATGATCTCTCCCAATAGCTTCATGTAGATGTTAAATAATAGAGGCGGAGGACCCAAGGGTTTGATCATTAGCACAGAAATCAGCTCTTCAGAAAGGATTTCCAGTGGGGCATAGCACATCCCATCTCCAGCCGAGTTAACACATTTAATGGCATTGAAGACAGCAAGATCAGGATAGTCAGCCTCTCCTTTATTCCAGACCTTATTACAGGTCATCCATAACAGCAACTAATGTAAAGGTAAAGGGTTCCTCTGTCCAGTTATGTCTGACTCTAAGGGGCGGTGCTGATCTCCTTAGCCGAGGAAGCCAACGCTGTCTGAAGATATTTCCATGGTCATGTGACAGCATGACTATACACCAAGGTGCACAGAACACTTACCTTCCTACTGAAGTCGTACCTATTTATCTACTCGCATTTGCATACTTTGAATTGCTAGATGGGCAGGAGCTGGGTTAAATAACAGGAGCTCACCCCTTGTGCAGCTGTCAAAGGGCTGTCAGTTTTCCATCTGACAAGCTCAGTGTCTTTAACCACTGAGCCACAGCAACTCATGTAGTTCTGTCCTATACTCAAGCCCGAATCCTGATTGAAAAATTCAAATCTGTTTCATTCCAAGCTTTCTGTAATTGTAGACTTACCATCTTTCCAACAACTTTTAAGATTTTAAGGTAGAAGGCCATGTGAATAAATTGCATATGGTTTCTAAAATCTGGAAATGTCTATTTAAAAAATGTGTACTGTCCTGCAGCTTGTCAAATATCATTAGTTTTGCAAGTTTTAACTTTTTTATATTTTTTATATTTTTTATATTTTAATCCTTAGAATTTGTGGACTCAGCATAAATACAACACTTGCAATAAAGCCCAGAGATTTAGCCCTAGCTACTGGTGGAATTGCATAAAAAAGCAATATTAACAACTCTAGTTCAACCATATATGTATCAGATCCCCCCCACAAAAAAAAATCCAAAAGTAAAACCCCTAAGGATTTTTGGAATTAAAAAAGGATTTAAGAAAATAAGGATTGTTCCAATTGTGAGCTGCCTGGGATTATTAAAAAATAAAATTAATACACTGACACGGAATGCAAAAATTACCTAACTGTTCAGAGTCTAATACCCCATCTTATTAGAAAATAACATTTATTTGTGTATGATGTGGTGTAATTATATATTACTGTTATCATGTAAAGGGGGTTTATATCCAACTGAACAAGCCATTGGGGAATACCACTGGATCCATGAAATGCACAAATCCAGAAGGCGATCTGAAGGCAGCACCCAACCAAGCTTGGCTGATCCAAAAAGCTAAAAAAGATGGTACTGTTACTGGGCTGAGAGATTGGACCTAGATTTCAGAACTGGAAATGGATGGGGCACTCAGTCACAAAATCATTCTCAGGAAAGCACCTGCAAAGGAATTTTTTTCTTACGAAAAAAACAAGATGTGTTCATGCGCTTGGCAAAGAGTCAAGCTGGACTGAGGGAGGAGGATTTTATTTTCACCTGGTGCAATTAGTTTGGTTTTGGAGTAGCGTGAATTCCTCCGCTA